TAATTGAACTACAACCAGGGAGATGTAAGGTGAGTCTTCTTAATATACATGTAGTAGTATGTCCAATATAATTATCCATGAATAGTGTTTGATCAGGAACGCCGCTCCTTAAAGTATATGTGAAGTACATGTGAATTCATAAAAGATATTTATTGTCTGTAATTTAGATCTTGCAGGTGAGTTGTTGTTGTTGACTGGGTTAGCTGTTTAAAAGATTTTATATTAGATAATTAATTAAATATATATATATATATATATATATATATATATATATATATATATATATATATATATATATGAATCAATGAATTTCACTTTAATTGAAAATAAGGACGAAAGATACTTGAATTATATGCAGATAAGAAAAATCGAGAGGAACATAGCGAACTTGTCTTCCTGAATTATATCAGCATAAAATCGATCCAATTTTTGTTCCATTTCTATTGATCTTTCTCATTCAATCAGTGCTACTGTTAGGATTTATATACATCAACATGAGCACACACACACACAGGCGCGCATATAAATGCCTGATTTATTAGAACAGACGTGACCAAATCTGATTTGGTATTTCAAAAAATAAAATTCTCTAAGAGATTCATAGAATCATCATAATTCATGTTCTGTTTCCCTTCGGGACATGGTCGACCACAGCTCTCCTCGACTTCTTGTTCCTTGTAGCTCTATGCAACGTTTGACTCTTTACCCTCCCTCTTTGTCCCTGTTTTGCTATACTTACACAAACCCCTTAGGGAAGTTCCTTTGTGTTTTCTTCCGCCCTTCCACCCTGTGAATATTACGTTTTACGAACCAAAAAATGTCAGTTTAATTGTAGTATGCTTTTTCATCTATGATTAGTAAAGTTTTTACTAATAACAATATCACCAAACCGATATAAATACAGAAATTTAAAAGATTTAAAGCTTTCTAATTAAATGTCTTATGTTTTATTGCATTTTTATCTTACGATTCAGAGCAGATTTTCGGTAAGTGAGGGGAGGGGTTCTATTTTACAAAAAAAAAAAAATTGATGATTTAAATTCTCCAAGGACTTGACTTTATAGCTATTATAAACGTGAAACGGTACAAAAGTAATTTCTCGATTGGATGGTAACAGATTACCAATATTTTCTCAAAACGAAACATATCTAAATAATTCATTTGTGATAAGTCCTGAAAGTTTCATTAAAATCCGACAACAACGACGGAAAACAACGCTAAAACTCCCTATACTAATATTTGGTCGCCCGTTGACGCAAAAAATTTTAACCAAAAGTTAGAACGTTTTTAAAAGGATTAAAAAATATAATTTAATAATTAAAAATCCTTTCATCTTTCCACTTAGTAATAACCGAAAGATTTTAACGATAACACTTTGTTTTTATTAAGTTTGGGGCATTTTTTCATCATAGTATACACATTTTTTAGCGAATCTGTGGAGGTACCTACTATAAAGCCATATTATTATGGAGTTCACGCTTAACTGCAGTGCAGGGTTCTGTACTTTATTATTATCTCGAGTGTGATCGATGAGGCCATTTAAGGCAATATCTCTCTCTTTATATATATATATATATATATATATATATATATAAATCCACCGAGTCTAGAAGAATCCTCAACAGAATGTAAAAATCACTAGGACTCATCAGCAGTACGCATCCACTATCGAGACCATTTCGATACAACGCAAGCGTCATACCACCTGTATGAACGGACCTCGGTAACGAAGAAGAAACTGACTAGACACGATATAGCGCTGCTACCCACAAATTCCGTGTTGATACTCATCCAAGTATTCATAACCCAACTGATTGTGCCCCAAGGGCCACGTCTTTCCTTTTCTCCGAATCACTCCATCGCAGAGTATTAGCTGGGTCAGGCAAGGATATACAAGTAATAGAATTTGGGGGATTTTAGGTAAATCATTATAGTAATTCATCGAGTCGAGAATCTCGGTAGAGTATACGCACTGCTGATGAGTCCCACAATAGGACGAAACGGCCGTCTAGTGCTTTCTGCATTCTATTGAACATAACTGTGAATGCTTAATCGCCGATATTGAATCGTCTTTCTCTTTAAATAAAGTAAAGCTTAAACAATATATTTAGTGTTCGCCTAAATTGGTATCGTAATTTCAATACATTGCGAATTAGGCATACTTTAATTCAATTCAACAATAGAATACACACAATTTTCACGATTAAAATTCTTCTTGCTTTATGCGCCGTGTCCCTTCAGGACATAGGTGATCATAGCCCTCCACATCCTCCTGTCCTTAATAAGTTTCATCTTTTTGTTATTTCTCCCAAACCTTGTTCTACCATCCATTTACTCAAGCCCATCAAGTATGTTACACGTTGCTTTCCTCTGTCTCTCTTTCTCTCAATCTGTCCTATGAGTATCATGTTTTCCAAGCCCTCCTTTCAATTGCCTCTTCCTCATGTTAAATAGGTTTCCTTTTTGCCTCAATTTTCTCCAAAACCTCATTGTTGCTCACACGTTCGGCCCATAATATCCGGAGCATCTTTCTGTAGAACAACATTTCTATTGCTTTAAGTATTTACTTTATCTTTAAGGAGATTGTTTAGCAATCCCTCCCATACAGGAGGACACCGGGGATGAAGATAGAAAGATGAACATTTCAACAACGTTTACATTACTTTTGGCCCACCCTATATATAAGACTAAACCAGTTCCCATCCCAGGCTTTTTCTTGGTATGGAGGGTGGCTAGGCACCCAGCAGGATTAAAAATAAAGACTTGTCAATATGCGGATGAACTTGCTTGTAAGGTCAACGGCCATCTAGCACAATGGTGTAGACTATGCTCCATAGCTATGGATGCCTTCAATACGGTGATGACACAGTATTACAGGGTGGAGGGCTTCCCGTAGAATGAAGTTAACGGTCAGGGCAGAGGGTTCCCTCGATATAATTAACGGTCATGCGGCAGTGACCAAGGCGTGCCTTCATGTTGGGGGACATCAGCTGAGGTTTGACCTGAAGAGGGATGTGTTCCGCCAGGTCGATTTGCGCAAGACACAAATACCTCTCGGACTCTCAGATATGTGAGTGGAAATGATCAAGTGCTCAGTTGTGGAATGACCGTACAAATATCTCCGTCAGTGGGACTGATGATGATGATGATGATGATGATGATGATGATATACAACTGTGGGTTGAAATATTCTCGGCCAAAACCACTTCCCAAAGTCAGTATTCTGATATTTGGCCACTGAAATTCTGATTTCAGGAAATGCGATGAGCCGAGAATTTGTAAACACCCCTCATATATATTTCTCTCCGGCTGGTCTTGCAACACCCTCCCTACGTCAGCACCTTTTTTTTTTTTTCTTTTTTTTTTCTATTGCGGCCAGGACGTCCTTGTGTATTTCATTCACTTCCTGGTAACTATTCCGCATAACTGTCACCCTCTGCATTCTATAGATCTATAATGAGTCATGGAAAGTGACTGGAACTATGCCAAAGTCTGTCCACTCTAGCAGCCCATCTTTAACGTTTGTTCGGCTGTTCCGGCTGTTCCCGCTTTTACTGTTACTTCTCTTACTCCCGCCACATTGATTTTGTATGTTTTTACCTGACTGGATTGCAAGGTAACTTGTACGCAGTTGCCAGGTTAAGTAAACACCTCTGCCTTAATTTTTACCTTTTTTCAATATATGCTTTTTCATCATTCTCAATTTATTTGCCTTCAATTAACGCAATCTGGGTAAACAAGCGTTTCCCGGACAAAGGTTACTTACAAAAATCATTCTTTTTAATACTAAAATATTCACCGAATGCAAGGCTCAAGATTGATTGATTCCTTTATTTTTTTCTTTTCTTTTTTTTTTTTTTACGGCTTACCTTCGGCAGATTATTTAAAGTCAGAAAATATTTTAGATTGTCAGAAATTTAGTAGATAATAATGATTTAGTGATACAATTCTTACTAATTAATCTATAGTTGGGGGAAGAAGAGGTGGATTCATAACTTTATTTGCGCGTCAGTGAATATAACGAACCCAACTGGAATTGGAACTGGGTTTCCCGATAAGGTTCAACAGCTCTTCATATTAAGGGTTACTGAATGATATGAACGTAAGAGGAGATAAAATGAATTGAAGATTATAAGGATAAAGCGTAGAGACAGCAATTAACCCTAGACTTGTAGGGAAGCAGCCACGCGGGAGTTTATTCCACAACGTAGCAGCTTTCGAGAAAACGCTGTCTGAATAGAACTTCTGCCTTACAAATGGAATACGGAGAATATGTGGGGAGACGTAAAATGGCGTGTCCTAGCTGTAATGGTCTGGACAGGTGGAACTATAGAATGGATCTCATCTGAACATTTGCCATAGAAATAGCGATAGATTAGAGATAGGCTTGCAACGTTGCGTTTGTGGGTGAAGAGGCTGCAGAGTGGAAAATGTCACACCCGCCCCAAAGACCCTGTAAATTTCTGAACTCTATCAAGGCTGGAAAGTGAGGATTGGGAAGCTCCAGCCCAGATATATCAATAATATTCCATTTTGGTCTAATCTGTCTCATCTGTAAAGATGAGACAGATCAGAATGAGTCAGGTACTTTCTGCAACGGTACAAGACGACCATTTTTCTATCATCTTTTACAATGGATCGCCTGTATGGTTTGTAGTTGTGGTCTGGAGTGAGCTTGATTATTGATTGATTGATTTGTTTTTTACGGATTATCAACCCTTCGCTGGTTATTTAAAGTCGAAAAATATTTTTAGTTTGTAAGAATTTTGGGGAGGTAGTGAGTTCGTTGGTTGGTTATTTTTGTTTTGCATATTCAAAACATCTATGGGTTATTTAATAACGAAATCTAAATATTTTGTACACAATTTTATTCATAATAATGATTTAGTGATACAAGTCTTACGCATTAACCCATAGCTGGAGGGAAAGGTGAATTTGTAACTCAGCGCTCTGATGAACAATTTCTAACTATTAAATATTACACCATCCGTACAGCCAAGCTTACAGCGCCTGGTATTTCCAAGCGGTCACCCATCACTGTACTGGCCAGACGCGACGTTGCTTTACTTCAGAGTTTCAACGTGATATGGCTGTCAGCCTGGAAACAACGAGTAACCGACCTTCCAATCTTGTTTAAATTGGTGAAAGAACGGAATGAGAGAGATTGTACCGGTACAGACATTACTTAGATCTACAAAGGTTAGGAAGTTGTAGATAGCCATATTCTGAAAGGAAAACCACATATAAAAAAGTATGTAATCACTTTCAGAGCCCTTTTTTTTTCGTGAATGGTCACAAAATCAGGGTCAATTTAATCTTTTAAAAAAAATTCAAAATCCCGGGTTCCGGCTACATCACATTGAAACACCGGTCTCCGTCACGTTGCAATTGTATTTTAATAACATCTACAGGGGATTAATGGATAAGGTCTCGGATTGAGGAATCGGAGAACCGAGTTCGAATTCCCGTCGAATCCATTACATTCATTTACGTGCTAATACCCTTTGGAAAGGTATGAATCCTCTTCTTCTTCCCCCAGCTATGGGTAAATAGAAGGATTGACCGGCTGGCAACAGCAGAAAGAAATGGCAACCTACTGCGGGGAAAAATCTGCCTCTTCAGTCATGTATTGAAAGATACATGATCGCCTAAGTGTGTATCACGCATAGCACATAACTGACTTAATGGCATTGCTCCCTTTCACATGGAAAAATTTTCCACTCTTCACTTGTATAGCAAATATTCAAAAGCGTACAGTGATGAGTGGATTATGTTTCCTGTTTTGATAAATTCGAGACTGCCAATATGATCAAAAAAAAAAGTCAATTTTTTATTAAATAAAAATTATCCTGAGGTCACTTCATAATTTTACTAACAATGTTGTTCATGGTCTTCCCTTATCTGATTTATATCCGAAAAAAATAATGTTATTTCCCCTATTTGACTGTTAATGTCCCTTCACAAATCTCTATAAAATACGAAAATATTCCTTGTTTGCATGGGATATCCTATCTAGGAATGTAGCTCAGTTATTACCATAAAGCCTCCTGTTTTTTATATATATGTTCTTTGTACATTTTAATATTTTTTTCAAATAGCATATGTTGAAATACCTTTTAAATACTCAAAATCCAAAATTTTCAGTCGCTTACTATTTCCTATTCAGTTGCTCATCGCCCAGCCAACAGTTTTAATCGCCCACCGGTGGACGATATCATCCAGGTTGAGAAACCTTAATCTATAATAATCACAATGAGAATGATAGTTCGAATAAAGCAAAATATAAAAGTTATAACATATCACAGAGACAAAAATATACAATTGGTGCATTATGTAGCAAGATATTTTTGTAGGAATTTGCAGTTTTATTTTTATTTATTTATTTTTAATACATTTACTACTATATGCTGAACAAATGCATGTTATGGTAACATTATGTGAAAGGGTTCAAATATCCAAAATAACAGGGAATATACTCAACACAATTAGATTAATTTACCTGAACAAATTACTTAGTATTTATTTCGATTAGCCACGTTACTTAGAACAATTACTTCGCTACTTATGTAAATGTAAAAACAGTTTTTATTTAAAGAACAGTTTTTAATTTTATATATAAATGACGGTGAACAGTAATGGCACAGGTAATAATGCTACGGTAAAATGTCACCGGTAAAAATATCACAAGTGAAAAAAATAGGAAAAAATGGCACAGGTGAAAAACAAACTTTTAAAAAATTTTAAACGTACATTGACAAATGTTAGGTAAAACAATTCTACTTTTTTATTTTAGCTAATATTAAAAAAATAGATAAAATAATTTATATATGATACATTTTTTAAATAAACTTCAATAAACTTTTAAATTTTTTCCTATTTTTCCACTTTTTACCTGTGCCATTATTACCTAAATTCATAAGTGACACATGGCTCTAATGGGCATTGTTGAACATTTACGGTTAATTTATTTAAATAATGCATTTACTCTTGTTTGCGTGACGCGGCAATAATTGTAAGTAAAACGCTACACTAAAATAAGTATCAAAGTAATCGCTTTAAGTTCTCTGAATATCGGTGCCAATTTTTAAATTTAAACTTTTATATTAATTTCTGAAAATTAAGTATATGTTACAGAAACATTAGATACATCTGGAATCAAATTTGACTCTGAAGTGGTTTGTGGAAAAGCTTTAATAGTACCAACTCCAAGATTAAATTGAAGGCTTCTAAGGCGATTGTGAAAACATATCGAGTTTTGTAGCGACTCTAGCCTTAATGCTACAAATTACGTAGCATTTATTTCGATTAACGACATTACTTAGAACGATTACATCGCTACTTATGTAAATGTAAAAACAAACAGATTCAGTTAGCAATAATATGAAAAGACATTGTTGATTATTTACGGTTAATTTGTTCAAAATAGACGTCACGTGGCAATAATTGTAAGTAAAATGATGCACTAAAATAAGTAACCAATTAATCGTTTTAAGTTCTCTGAATATCAGTGGCTTAATTTTTCTGTTCAACAAAATTAATTTTTCTGACCGGGATGTTCATCTTTTCCTCTCTGACTATCTCAGTACAAACCGGAATTTGAGACTAGATTCGATGAATATATTTGATGTCAAACACTGTAAACACTAATGCATTTCTCAAAAAAGAAATTACACAAAAATGGTGCGTTAGTCAAATCAGGTAGTTAAATGGTGACTTTATAAAAATTAAATATTTGGATATTTACATTTCAAGAATTTTTTTTTATTTTAATTTATTTATTTGTCTGTAAGGATATGCAGATGTGAAATCAATGAGCTGAGTTCATTGCATATACTTTCGCACAGATGCCCTTTGGAACGGTATAAGTTCATTTCTTCTCACTTCCAGCTTTAGGTTAAAGGCTGACTGAACTTTTTTGCTTTGAGGTGGGAACCAGTCTAGAAGAAGAAAATCTGAATTCAAAATAAACTTTAAGAGGCATGGGCGCCTTTAGTTTATATTATCTTAAAATATAAAGAAATTTCTTTCTTTAACCCAAATCTGGTTCGTTTTTAGATGCTTAGGAACCCCATATATTGTGACAATGTGCCAGTGTAAGGCTTAATAAATAAGGAACATATTCTTGGTATCTCAATGAATCCATACCTCACATCTAAAAAAAAAACGCATGAAAGTTATTAGACGTTTTGTTTTGCCAATACTAAATCACATGGTATAGTTTGAAATAGAACCAAAACCCGTGGAGTCTTTAGTGACCATTTAAAGCTAAAATCTATCATTTAAAAGTATGGAAGCCTAAAAATTAAAAAAAAAAATTTTTTCTTTAGTAAAAGAAAATCTGGGTCTCTTTGTCGGTCTCTAGCAAAAAAAATGCCTTACCCCTAATCTCTAAATCTGGGAGGAATAACAAAATCTTTTTCTTTTTTTTTTTAGCTTTCAATACCTTAAACTTATGTTAGCATGTTAGCTATTGGTGGAGACTAACAAAAAAAACTCCTATAATTATAGACATGACAACTGACTCATCTCAAAACAGAAAATAATTTGTTTAAATTTCCATAAGATATTGTATTTCCTGGGTGTATTCTGCTATATTGCAATTCACATCTTCCCTTCTCCAATTTCCAACATCCTATTATATCTGTCTGCGACATTTAAATACACCCTATAAAGTTATTTTCTTGTGAATGTTATTTGGTACCATTGTCTATTAAGTATACTTATTCTATCTTTCCTTCGGCAAATTTCGGTTTTATCTAATTTGTCAGCAGTTTACTTGGGGGCACATAGTTATAAAAATGGTGAGACAAGCATGCGAATGGTGAAGACTTACAATTAGTTGCCGATGAGCACGAAAAATTTGAAAATAAATTAATTGAACATTTTCAAAAGAAAATCAACACATGGAGGATTTCTATACCGGAGAACACATTTTCCTTTCAATAAAGGAAGTCTCTCGAATGCACAAGCCGATAGACATAATTCATCCCGTTTTAAAAACAGGGGCGTCTGTTCAAATTGTTTAAAATAAGGTCTAGAGCAGTGGTTCTCGACCTTTTTTTTACCCGTGTACTACGTTTATTCTTAATTTTTTTTGTTTTTGTTTTTGATGGACCCCCATAACCATTCGATAAAAAAAGCTTATTTTATTTTTCATTAAAAGACTTGTTTAGAAATTGTATTATAGAAATAGTAAATGCATATGTTTTATTTTGAAGCAAAACTAATCTAATGAAAATAAACTTTCATTTAACATCTAAATTCTATGGGATATTTATGTACACAAGTAAAACGTCTCATAATAAACCATGTTAAAATATGTGAGTAATTAATAAATTAAAAAAGTGAAGATTTATTCAATGAGATCCCTACGGTTGATGCTGCTCTACGATTTTTTTTTTGTTTTATATTCGGCTCCATCGATAACAATAATAGTTGAAGATCACTCCTTTTCACAATGTCCGGCTTTTGATAGTAAGTGATACACACGACTACTATGGATGGTTTTTGTTATTTGGTAAAGGTTTTTGTTCGTGATTTTTAGCGTCTGACAATAGGTTTTGTATAAAGGATCGCCATTAAGATCTAAAGCATTCATTCGCTTGAAGCCATTTTTAATCATTGATCTGATAAAACAGTTGTATACAGATGATAGTTGAGGCGAAAGTCAGGAATGACATCCATAGAATCAAGCATTTATTTATTTATTTTTGCGAAAGCTCTTTCTGATCTGGCAGGGCCAGTCTGTAGGGTCTGACGATGGGCCGTTAAAAATTTGGGGCTAATAATAACAAAGATGAAGATGACGGTTAACTTATCCGTTTCCTCATAAGAAAACACTCGGCATTCATTGACGAAGCAGTTTGCGTTACTGTCGGTTGAAATTCATAAAAACTTTTTTTCATAGACCTGAACCAAGTAAATGCTAACAGATTCAAATTTAATGGTGATGGTCGCAGTGAGGATATCGGTTTCCCCACAGTAAATATTCAGCATTCATTAATCGAGCAATTAGCATTACTGGCAATTGAAATTCATAAAACCTTTTTCTTAAAACAGTTTTTCAACAAATAAACTTCTCAAGTCCAGTA